CTCTCCAGTCCACGATGCTGAACCTGCATGGCAGAGCGGGGCCAACGTGGTTCTGCTCCGAGGCTCGCCGTCATGGGTGTGTGTGTGTTCAGAACAATAAGCTACACCATACGTTCTGTAATAGGATTCAGAAACCCAAGGTTGAAGCCCTGCCGCTGTGATACTGCAAACGTCAGCCCTTTGTCCACAGAATCAGGAGGAAAGGAGGGCAAGCGTGAAGTTTATACAAGAAACACATGAAATGTTCTCACACTCACAGTGAGTGGATGTCAACCCACAGTGACCCTATAGGACAGGGTAGAGCTGGCCCTGTGAGTTTCTGAGACTGTCACTCTGGACGGGAGTAGAAAGCCCAGTATTTATCCCTCAGAGCGGCTGGTGGGTTCAAACGGCTCACCTTGTGGTTAGCAGCCCAATGTGTAACCATATCGTCACCAGGTCTCCTGATAAATGCTGGCTTAGCCTAGATCCTTGATGGACCAGAAACAAACTCATGCCTCACAGGATTTCCAAGACTGTAATCTTGGGGGTTTCAAACTCTGATTGGATAATCTCATGTGACCACTACTGCCATGGATCTTGGTGTACAGTTCTCTTTTTCAGTATCTCCTTGGAGAAAAACAGGGCTTTCTACTCCTGTAAAGAGCTAGAGGGCAGTCGACCTTTCCTCTGAGGTCGCTGTGAGCCGGCATAGACTCAAGGGCAGTGAGTGAAGTTTTGGTTTATCCTCCAACCAAACCAGACTCCTGGCCATCGAGATTGTACGGCAGTGATAGAGACCATCACTTTTGATGGGACTAGAAAGCCTCATCGTTCTCCCGAGGAGTGGCTTGCGGTTTTGAGTGAACTGCCGACCTTCTGTATTGCTAGTGGGAATAAAATTAGTGTCTCATCTGTGGCGGTGATTTGCGTCGCTCTGACGGCTAACGAAGCTGAGCGTCTTTCCTCGAGATTTGGTGGCCAATTATGCCCCCCCCCCCCCATGAAATGTCTTTTCAAGTCCTTTGCTTCTTTTGTGACTGGGTTCTTTGCCTTTAAGGTGTCCAAGTTTTAGACTCATCTATTCTGTTTATTAGAATCTTACTGGACTTTTCAAGAAACACAATCAGAAGTTAGTGTTTTGGTGAAGACTTTTGATAAACGTTTTCCATGTGTATGAGCTCCCATCTCTTCAGTTTGTCTTTGCCATTTGTGGTATTGTTGTTTTACTAGGTAATCTGTTGTTGGAAGTGTGTCTTGTCTGCATTGCCATGACAGGTTCTTCTAAGTAGCTTATAGTTTCAATTTGTACATTCATTTACCTCCTTATCCTGTTTTGCATTGTGGTAGTTATATAAACTGTTGTCAGTTTGAGAGGATTGAGTGAAGGGGTGGAGTCTAACCTGTCAATCATTGCATAGCCAATGCAGCCTCTGTGTGGGCATGGCCTTCCCCTGAGAATTCTGGGAATTGCTGTATTTCCTCCTAGGAGACCGGAGACTCTGTGCTCACTCCCTGAGAGGCGCTTTACTGATAAGACATATGGCACTACGCTGATAGACTCCATGCCCTGGGAACTGGAGGAGCCACGTGGAGATGCCTGCCAGTGCTGAGCTGCTTACAATGCCACTGGATCCACAAGATTTCCCACCCACTGGCCTATAATCTTCCAGAATTTGGTATCATTGCATGTGTTTCATGAGTCTGAAGAGGACTTTATAGATTGGTTTTGGACATTTGGGCTAATATCGGACTTTTGGACTTGATCTGGACTGGACTGGGACGTTTTCTCAATGTTCAGTTGCTCTTGTATATAATCCTCTTCCATATACACATATGAGTGTCTGTGAATTTGTTTCTCTGGTCTGGTCGACTCGGAATAACACATCGTTTTTGTGTATGGTGTGAGACATAAGTCTTGTTTGGTGTTTCTGCACATAGAAATCCAGTTTTCCCAGTACCATGCATTGAAGAGATTCTTCTTGCCCCATCAAATGGACTTAGTATCCTTGTTCAGGAATCAGTTGGCTGCAATACTGATTGCACCATAGATACATAGGCTTACTTTTAGTTCCTTGAGGAAGAATTCTGAAGGTAAGAATCAGATCCTAGCTTGACCTCGTTCTCTAGATTCCGCGCTGTTGTTAGTTGCTGTTGCGATGATTGCTATTTGTGGAGACGCATGCGTGCTGAGTAGAACTGCTTATAGGGCTCAAGGCTGTGCCTTTGGGGAAGCAGAGCATTAGACCTGCCTCCCGAGGTGCCTCCAGAAAGATTCGAACACTTAACCTTTTGGCTGGTCGTTGAGGGCTTATGTTTTTCACAGGCCAGACGGCTATTTACGGAGTGCTTGCTTATTTCAGTCTGGTGGGCAATTAGACACAAATACTCTTGGCCTTTAGACTCTGATGGTTTAGATAAAGAGCATGATTTAAATAAATAAACCATGAGGATGGTTTAAATAAGGAGCACATCATGAAACGTTTCTGGTGCCTCAGAAATCACTAATTTATTCAGAAGACAAATCTCTAATTTATTCAGAAGTCACGGTAGGTAGAGGAGATTATGTTATCAGTGCTAAGGATGGCGAGATTCCAAGGGACATAGACTAGTTCTGTTGCTCTTCTTTTTGCGTCTGCATCTGTGTGAACAGAACACATGTTAATGGCAACCCCATTGTTTTCTCTAGATGATGGCTGTGTTCACGATGTTGATTGGGAGTGATGGCTTCGTGTGAACAGAACACATGTTAATGGCAACCCCATTGTTTTCTCTAGATGATGGCTGTGTTCACGATGTTGATTGGGAGTGATGGCTTCGTGAATGCGTAGATTTGTCAAGACCTACCAAGCCCAGCCCCTTAAACAACGTGCCCTTTATTGGATGCCAGTTATACCTTAATTGAGCTGTTACAATGGAATGGCATTAATAATAATGTAGATAACATGAACAGATATATTCCTGAAGGCTTTACTTTTTGTGAAAGATGAAAGAGTACATCTATTTACATAGTAATCTCTAATTAGACTGTGAATTAAATCCTTGTCAGGCTCGTTCTACACTGGAAACGTAGCTCTTCCTGTGACCGGAGTTAGACCTGAAAGCCCTCGCTGCCCTTCGTCGCCCTGCTCCTTACCCTCGGTACCTTCAGGGCCAGTGAAGCGTCGCACCGTCAAACCCGGTCCAGAGCCTGGGGGTGAGCTGCTCTCCCCTCCTGAGGGCTAATAATGGGTAACTAGCATCCAATAAATGGCGCGTTATTTAAGGGGCAGGGCTTGGTAAGCACACTGAGTTTGTGCTTTCTAGCTCATACCTAACCTGCTTCTTCAAGCTCTTTACCTCACATTAGTTTGAGACGCCTCAGAGGTCATGCTTGTGTCAATACCTGCTTTCATTTTCTGGAGTAATTTCTTCTAATCTGAGTTGCCGAGAATTTTACCTTGAAGTAGAGGAGTGAAGTACCCCGGGCGAAAACAACGGACCCTTGCTTTAAAGTGTCTCAGCAGCATGCGTGCAGACGCAATGGTGCGCCATGGGGGAAGGAAGAATTAGGGTCTAGTTGCATCCTCTGGGGTTAGACCGCTGTTCTTACGTCCCTCCGTTCTGAGCGAGTCCTGGCGATTTCCCGGGAAGAGGCATCCTAGGAAACACCATGGAGTGGGGTACTGTCCCCTTGGGCGCTTCCGTGCATTTCTTGTTTTCTTGCTCTCTGGGCTTTGCTAAGACACGTGTCAGTCCAGCAGGCACAGTTCTGCCTTTGCGAATGAGTGTTGTTGAATGTTTGGCCCTCTCCCCAATCCTGTTTGTGTAAATTTCACCCAGTCACAGCTTTCAATTTGTACAAGTCAACAATGCACATATTTCTGTCTAAAAAGCTGATCCAAACTTGCCTAGTTTCCTTTTCTCAACAGTATTTTAAACTCTATACTATTGGCTAAACTAATGGTACTATCAATAGAATTAATTACTTTATGTCCCCCGGGGATATTTATAATGTTCTCTAGTAAATTAATAATGATGTCTCTAAAGTGAGCCAGGGACATATATAAACCACAGATATATGAATGGACATTGTGCTCACACTTAATTGTACCCATAATCCAAGAACACTTAGTTCTTGTGACAGAACCTGCTTGATACGATCATGGAGAGATCACTAACGATACAGGTGCTATCTTATAGCAGACTGTGATGAAATCAGATGCTGCCTGGCTGGCAGAAAGAATAGCATCTGTGGTCTCGCAGGCTTGTATTAAAACAAGCAGCCATCTAAGGGAGGTACCAGCTAAATTCACATGGAAGAAGCACACCAGCCTGTGTGATCCAAAGACTGTAAATAATAAAGTCCAAATCTGAAGAAGGGAGTGGTATTAGAGCCTAAATTCTGAACACCCTCTTTGCAGAAGGCACTAGATGACAGTAGAAGCCCAAAATCCATCTGCGGGGTCCCCACATGGGTTAAACCTCTGATGAATCCCCTCTGACCTAGGGGAATAACCTTGCTGTCAGATAGAGAGCAGTGTACAGTCGATTAGGGTAGATGTGGTTAGGTTAAAATGTAACCTTATTAAATCTCCCTTTTGTTTCAGTTTTTAACATTTTTTGCTTTCTTTTCAATTGAGTTTCTTGTTGTTGTTCTATTTTGTCACTGTTACTGGGTTTTTGTTTTGTATGTTTTTCTGCGTATTAAATCCAGGATAGATCAATCGATGGAGACAGTAACTGGATTGATAATTACCTAGGACATGGCAGGAGAGGCTGGGGGGAGGGTAGTGTAATGGGGAACTAACTAAAAAAAAGAAAATGTTCTAAAATTGATTGTGGTGATGATGGTACAGCTTTTCATAGGATCAAACCATCAGATTGTATAATCTGTGGATTATATACCAATAATAATAATTTTTAAAAACTGCTGGCACCCACAGTAGCAGCGTCCGAAGGCAAGGCACCCTTTTGGAGAATATTGACGTTACTCTTTTAAATTAATGAGTGGTCTCGTGTGTGTGGCTCTCCTCTTTCAGGTTAAAGAAGAAATGAAAATTCTCACCCGAGATAAAGGCGTTAACTCTTTCAAGATGTTTATGGCCTACAAAGATGTGTACATGGTGAGGGACAGTGAGCTGTACGAAGCCTTCTCTCGGTGCAAGGACATCGGGGCGGTTGCTCAGGTCCATGCAGAAAATGGTGACTTAATCGCCGAGGTAAGCATTTGCATTCCAGGTCTCCCTCGGGAGAGAAAAGGGCTATAACTTTAGGTGAAATAAAAAGCAAAACATTAGAAAGCAAACCCCAAGCCATGACCATGGAAGCAGCTCAGGCCGGCAGCGCCCCCTGTGTTGCCGAATAGAACTGCTCCAGGGAGCTGGGGTCTTTACCGGGGCAGATCACGAGTCCTGCCCTCCGTGCCTCCATGGGTGGGTCTAGCCTGCCCGCCTTCCGGTTCGTGGTAGAGAGCAAAACGTTGGGCCCACCCAGGCCCTGAAGTTGTCACACTTATCTGATGCTGGGAAAGGACCGAGACGCGGAGACTGGTGATCAGAAATCATCTGATGTTCTTGGGTGACTGCTCTTGCATGCAGGTGGCGTGTGAACGGAGGATTTCCTTTTTTCAAACCAGTGACTGGAGCTTAAGCATTGTTTGTTATAGAAACACAAACGCTTTCCTTTTTGTCTGGTAGCACCTGATACTTTTGTTTTTCCCCTGGCTGGAGTCAGGTTGCTTCTTCAGAATGCTAAGCGTGGACAGCCTCCGCAGAACTGGATGATTTAAGCAGTATATTAGGCGGCTGTATAAAGCCTCGCTCTAGTTAGAAGCTGGGTATTAAAATGCACTCTGGGGGGATCTAGCGGCTGTTTATTTCTCGTGTGGGTTCCATTGTTAATGCCTGTAGGGAATGCTGTCCATGAGATTTAAAGAGCCGTCTCTCGCCCTCTATAGTAGCTGATGCTCCCTGCTCCCCCCAGGATCAGTTCCCATTAAAGTCAGTGAGGTTGAGACTCTGTGGCCGGGAGGCAGCATGGGCTAATGAGAAGAGAGCCCAGCAAACCAAACCAGTCTCCCTGCCGTCCAGTCCACGCTGACTCATAGTGACCCGATAGGACAGGATTGAACAGACCCTGTGGGTTTCTGAGACCATAACTCTTTTCAAGAGTGGAAAGCTCCATTTGTCTCCTGTGCAATGGCTGGTGGTTTGGAAATGCTGACCTTGTGATTTGCAGCCTGGTGTGTCCCACCCGCTCCCCTCCCCGCCACGCCATCCGGGCTCCCAGGAAGAGAGCAGGCGCTGTAAAGCCAAGCAGACCGCAGTTTACGTGGACTCTTCCTAGGCCAGTGAGGACTATGGTTTAGTCAAAAGTGAAATGAATTTATCGTTTACAGTACAATGAGTTGCTTCAGCCAGCATCTAATATTGGGAATGAGATTGGAAAGGCCACCCACCCACCCACCCACCCAAATCACTGCCATTGAGTTGATTGAAACTCACAGTGACCCTCCGGGACAGAGTCGTTGGGCCGTTTGGGTTTCTGCAACTTTAAATCATTAGCAGCAGAAACTCGCATCCTGCTCCCACGGAAGCCGCTGGTGGGTTTGAATGGCTGATCGATCTGGGGAGCGGCTTGTGCACCACCGGGGCTCTGAGACCTAGCTTCCTGGGCTTGTGCTAAGCCTTCAGCAGCCTTCATATGCATGCCACTTTTCTACGAATGGGGTGCGAACGAGCTCCCTATCTTTCCGTTTTGCAGTCAGCCCAGGTCACTTCCTTCTGAAATACACACGTGAAAATTCACACATCGCCTGTGTTGTTGGCTGTGGGCCTGTTGACCTCAGGGGACAAAGCAGAACTGCTTCCACAGAGCTTTCTAGGCTGTGAATGTTGCCGGAAGCAAGTTGCCAAATCTTTCTGCTGTGGAGTTGGGCGAGTTTGAATCACCAACCTTTTGGTTAGCAGTGAGGCTCTTAACTGTGGTACTAGCAGGGCTCATTCACATACCTCATTCTCCAAGCCCACTGCCATGGAGGGGACGCATGGCAACCCGCCCCCCCACCCCCTACCCGGGTTTCCTGGAATAAATACCAGACCAACTCCACTGCCGACTCACTGCCAT